CCGACGGATGCCAGTGGGTCAGATTGAACTTCATGGCCCTTCCCGAAGACGCCCCTGACCTCCTTGCTCTAAATGCAAAGGGACTCTCAGAGTTCGCTTGGGGAACACAAAATGCAGCCTCCTAACCATGATGGCAGCAGCCTGAGCTTGGCTGTGCCTCAGGATCCAGTCCTGTCGGTCTCGGCCCCAGCACGCCCCACGGAAGGCAGACGGGGAAGAGGCCGGGGGCAGCTGAGGTGTGCTCACGGCCACCTGCTCCTTTGAGCAAAGATCGGGGAGGGGACCACGAAGACGGCCCTGGCTGGGCTCCCAGTGAAGCCGACCAAAACCCCCAGACCGATGAGCAAAGCCTCCAAGGAGGCTCCTCAGTGCCCCTCTCTGTCAACCCAAGCTCTTGGAAAGGCTTCTTCTCGGCCGGATGAGGCCCCTGGGCCCGTGCTCTGAAGAGGGGCCCGGGTCATCAGCCCCTGCCTCGGGGGGCGGCACGCAAGGCCAGAGCTCGGTAAGACAAGGGCGCTTGTCTCGTGCGTGAAGAGCGTCTGAGCCCGACGAGGCCCAAAGGGGCTGGTCCAGCTCCAGCCGAGGAGCCAAGCCCTGACGCAGGTGTCAGGGATCCCGGGTGGTCCAGGGAAGGGGAGGGCGATGGGGACCCCGCCTGCATCCCACCCCAGCCTCCAGCAGCCCTGCCCTGGGGACCCAGCTTGCTTCCAGGCCTCACGGTTTTGAGGACACATGACACCCCCAGCCACCTGAGGGAAGCCTCTGCCCAGGGGAGACGTGGCAAGGTCATGGGCGGGGCTGGCAGGGGAGGCGGGAGGTCTTGGTTGGGGCTGCAGTGCTCATTACCTCCCCTCCGCTAGGGCGAGGGACTCCAGCCTTGAAACCCACAACTACTGTGCCCCGCTTGGGGCGCTCTTCTCTCCAGACAAGGGGGTCTTGGCGGGGCGGCGGGGGGGGGGTAGTAAAGGCAGCCCATGTGACTGAGCGCCCACTGGGCACCAGGCTCTGTGCCTACAGCCTCACCCTCTGAGGTGGGTGTGCTGTGATGCCCATCTGACAGAGGAGGAAACTGAGGCTCGCGGGGCCAGGGGCCAGATGCCGGCATGCTGACTTCCGAGGCCCTGTGCTGGATCACGGTGATGTCGGGACGGTGGCGACACTGGGTGAGGACTGTGTCCCGAGAAAGGCAAAGACGTGGTCTGATCCCAAGGCCGCCTCTCAGGCAGCGGGAACCACAAGCGTTTCGTTTCCAAGCCCGGCAAACCCTGGAGGCCACTGTGTGTCCCACCAAGTGCTGCGGTGACCTGGAACTCACGGCCTAGCGGAGGAGGCAGAGAGTGGGTAGGTGGCCCCGGTGCCTGCGGTCAGGGCTACAGAGCTGCAGGAGAGCAAGGGAGGGCCCAGTGTCTGTGGGCTGGGGTGCTTCGGGGACAGCTCGACCCAGGAAGTGCTACCAAAGCTGGGTTTTGAATGCTGAATAGGAGTTTTTCTCCGAGGAGGAGCGTTCCAAGTGCAGAAGACAGTATACGCGAAAGCGTGACGTCTGTGAGAGCGTGCTGAATGCCAAGGGCGTCGAGGGGCTCATGCATCAGGAGGGGAAGTCGAGGGGGAGCCCCATGTGTATGGCAGTGGCAGAGACAGGATCCACTGTCCCGGCCCCAGCTCCCCCGCCATCCTGGCCCCCCCCCCCCCCCCCCCCCGTCTATTTGCAAACATCCCCTAGAGGCCTCTCACTGCGGACCGGAGGTGGTGCAGGACAGGCACCCACTCGGCGGGGGCCACAACTCCTGAGGCCAAGACAGCGGGCACTTCCTGGCTCTGGGCTCAGATCCCGGGGGAGGCTGGGAGGGGCACCCAGGGTGGCATTCCAACTCCTACTACACAATTTGTCCATTTCCTGCCCTGGCTGCAAATTTCAACCATTCCCTCACAGGCCATCTCCGGCCTCTGCCCACTGCCTGGCCCTGCATTGACCCTGGAACCGGCCAGGCCCTCAACCAGCATCCTGGTGCGGGCACAGGTGCCAAGCCAGAGTGGTGGGGAGACTGGGGTCTCACGCGGTCTGGGCCTCCCTGGGCCACGTGCCTGGCCACGGCGCCACCTGCTTTTGGCCGTGTGGGGCTGGTGCCAGAGGCCCTCTAAGGGTAAGAGGCGCCGGCCAGGGGTGGGACGTGGGCTCCTGCTACCTGCTGAGGGTGGGCCTCTACCTGTTAACCCTGAAAGCGTGGTCCCTCCTCTCGGGGAGGGGGGCCTTGAGGGGGGCCCAGGCCCGAGGCGTCAGCGTTCCAGGTCCAGCACTCAGATGCCCAGCACCCCACTCCCCGGCAGGCCGACCTAAACAGATCCCGGGAGATCTGGCAGAGATCCTTCTGGAAACTTGAGAGAGCAGAGCACTCCATCTCTGCGGGGACCCTCTCTAAGCTCAAAGATTGCCCCGCCCTTAAGAGCATTATCCTGGAGACCAGGTGAGGGCGTCCGGCCTCCCTTGCAGCTAGAACGCAGTCCTGCGAGCTGGGCCCCGCACGTCTGGGCCCCGAGCAAGTCTTCTGGGGAAGCTGGGAGCCCCGGGGACCCCCTCCTGAGGGCCTGTGGCCTGCCAGCAGCCCAAGGCCTTTGGGGTGTGTTCAAGTCCTGTCCACAGAGTCTGGGGGCTACCCTTAAGAAGTGACCCTTAACAAGCGTCCTTGGGCATAAACTAGCTGAAATGGGGCCTGCTGCTGGCAGCCAAGAATTTAACGCAGGCTGACCTCGGTTGGGAAGCTAGGTGCCGGGGCCGACGGGCACTCTGTGGATGGTGGCAGCCTTGTATGGTGCCCACCCAGCCTGGAGACCCCCTCCCCGCCCCGCTCAGCTCAGCTCCCATTTCCTGGCCCCAGCCTGGGCCTGCCAGGAAGGACCCTTCCCCGATGCCCTAGAGGGGTCGATCTCTCTTCGTCCCCAGAAGCAGGCACCCAGCTGAGCCCCTAGGGGTGGGAGCGGAAGACCCCTGCCTCCCAAACCCCGTGTTGAGAACGGCAGGCCCTGGGAGGTCCCCGGCGCCGTGAGAAACCCCAGAAGAACCCTCGGGGGTTCAGGCCCCCCCCCCCGAGCTGGGCCAGACCTCCAGCTCCCAGTTACAGCCCCAGAGCATGCTCCCCGGGGCCTGAGGAAAGGCTGTCAGTGGACACGTCCCATCTGGGGACACCCGTGACCTGGCCAGGATGGCAGGGTCCCAAGCGTGCCCCGCGGTCACCTCACGCTGGAATTTGCACGGCAGGCCCAAAGGATCCGGCCATGTCTCTAATCGGGGGACACCATGGCTCTCCGTGTGATGTGAACCCACTGACCACCAACCAGCGCCCTCGTTCTGTGGTCTGGCTGTGCCCGAACAGCTCCATCCTGACCGTGGGGGAGGATTCGCTGAGAAGGTGCCCCGAGAGGGAGGGGAGAGTCCCAGCTCACCCAGCTTGCTGCTCCCACTGCCATACCAGTGACCAGCCATCTGTGCGGCATGGGGCTTCAGGAAGGACAGAGAATGCCACGCGGATGCAGACCCTGGGGGCCACCCCGCCGCAGGGTGTGATGTGGGGCCAAGCTCACATAAAGGGTGTGTTCATCCAGGCCGCGTGGGGCTGGGCGCCCTCCAGCCCAAGCTGTGAACCCAGACAGATTTTCCATGCTGGGGCCCAGGGCCCCCGCCAGCCTGCTGTTAATAAAAAGTCACAAGGCTCAGCCAGAGCAGCTCAGAGAGACAGGACGGCCTTCCAACACATTCTAGCTTAGTGATTTAATGGCAGAGCCGGCGTGCACTATTTATGTAATAAATCCATCCATTTGGGGGTTTTAGTATGTCAGAGGAGGCTCCCCCCCAACCCCGCCCCCCCCCCCCAAACACAGAATCCTGAGAAAATCTCATTTCACAGGTTCCCATGAAGCCAGGTGCAAAGCAGCCGTGGCCGGCGTGGAGCCCGACTCCGGGAACATCGCTGCTGGCAGCCGGAGGGAGAGCACGAAGCAGGGCTTTCTGGGTGTGGCCGCCCTAAGGCAGGCAGGTGGCTCTCTGCTTCCCAGGAGAGGCGCCCCCCCCCCCCCATCGCCTGACCCTGCTCTGGGGGGAGGGGGTCAGCCCCTCCGGGCAGGGGCTACATCCCAGCCGAGAAGGTCCTAATTCGACTTGCTCACCGGCGACCGCACTCCTACAGACTTAGGCACTGAGGCAGATGCTTCGGGCACAGGCTTAAAACCCGCCTCCGAGCTAGACATTCAGCTAAGGTTCATGGACCGAATTTCAACTCCAACATCAGAGCAGACCCTGGTAATCTGACGGACGCAACTCAAACAGCCCGACTACACCCCAATCTGCCCCAGGCAGCGAACCAAAGACCTCTTAGTACTTGGCTTGCAGGTGCGGGCAGAGGGCACGAGGAAACGCCCTCTTGCAAGACACCAAAGCCCCTGAGGCGGGTTGAGCTCTGGGGCCTGGATCCAGGCGACTGCCCCCGAGTCTGCCAAGCACCCCCCTCCTCCATCGGTCGCCGTGATAGGCGGTCGGTTTGCTGCGAGGCGGGAACCGGGAGTCCATGCACGGTGGCGGGCTGGTCACACACAGGGCTCCCCAGGCCCCACACCCACCCCGAGAGTGAGGTTATGGTTCCCCGGGGCGGACGAGGGCACACGAGAGCCTGGGGGTGTTGAGGGGTTTGCCAAGGCGCCCCAGCCGGAAAGGGAGAGACGGCACTCAGGGCGGAGCCTCGCACAGCCCACCGCCCACCGGGGGAGCCCACTGGGCCCTGCGTGCTCTCCTCTGCTCCTGCAGGGCCCTGGGCCCGGGAGGGCGCGGGGGGGGCGGGCACGGGAGTCTCAGCAGGCCCGCCCCGTGACCCCGCTGTGCAGAGGCAACAGGCAGACGTGGGCCCTGCCGATGACCGACGAGGGCCCTGACTTCATGCGTGCCCCAAGAGGCACGACCAAGCGGGCCAGCTCTGCCCCGAGCCCCGAGCCCACCGACCGGCACCCCGTACCTGGGTCAGCGCCGCGATGCGCTGTCGGTCATCTGCCTCCCGGGGCCGCCAGCGCCGTCAGTCGGTAGCGAACCCAACTCGCCTCTAATAAAACAAATCATCTGAGGCTGGGGAAGCCACAAGAGGAAACAGCTGTGTGCTCTTGGCTGCGAACACGTGTTTCTACGCCCATCTCCCCGCTCCCCGCTCTGCTTCCGTGGAATTCCGGATTCTTGGCCATTTTCTGACGGCAGAGCGTTCTGTGCTGGGGAGAGCGGTTCCGAGGCCTCGCGCACGTCACCTGGTCACACGCAGGCAGAAGCCGGATCCGCAGGCCACGCTCAGTGCCCGCTGTGTGGGTGCGGAAAAGTGAGCCGTGGACCCTGACCCGACTGTACCCCACAAAGGCCGTCCCGGCCACAGATACCGACAACGCCCAAGGTGAAATGCCTCCGGTGCACAAAGGCGTCAGCCAAGACATTCAGATCGGCCCTGTCCGTAATTGTCACAAATCGGGACACATCCAAATGTCCACCAGTAGGCGAAAAGAAAAACAATCTGGGCGGGGGCGGGGGGGGGGGGGTGTGCCTGGGTGGCTCAGTCGGTTGAGCGTCCGACTTCGGCTCGGGTCACGATCCCGCGGTCCGTGAGTTCGAGCCCCGCGTCGGGCTCTGTGCTGACAGCTCGGAGCCCGGAGCCTGTTTCAGATTCTGTGTCTCCGTCTCTCTGACCCTCCCCCGTTCATGCTCTGTCTCTCTCTGTCTCAAAAATAAATAAAAACCGTTAAAAAAAATTAAAAAAAAAAAAAAGGAAGAAAAACAATCTGGGGAACGCAGCGGGACCCTCATGAGAACGACAGACTGACCTGCTGACGCAGGTGACTCTCAGGGAGCGAAAGCTGTGAACCAAAAGCACATGCAGCGTCTGCACCCGTTGCTGGGAGCAGAAAGCACGGGCTGCGCTCGCTGAGGTCAGAATAGCAGCTCTCCTGATGGGGGACTGGCCCCGGGGTGCAAGGAAGTCTCCTGGGTGTCAGGGGATGCCCCATACTTTGGGAGCTGGGTACCCAGGTGTGTACGTGTAAGAGGTCACGAAGCTTCGCACACAGCTCTGTGCATTCCAGCAGAGCCCCACGGAAAGACAGGTAAACGCTTGAGGAGCGTCAGGCCTCCCGCACCCGGACCTCCTTCAGCTGAGCTTTACCTCCTAAAGCTTTACCCTCCAGAGGCGGGTCCTGCAGAGGGAAGCCCACCCACCCACCTGTGGCAGCAGAGAGGTTGTTAGGGGGCTGTGTCCTCAGACCAGGTGAAGACAGGTGCCTACTTCGGCCCCAGGACCACTGTGTTGCGGCGGGCGGGTCTTAGAAGTGGAGACGCCGAGATCTGAGCCCGCTTGGCTCCAGCCTGATGTCCGGGGGGAAGGGTGTCAGGCCCACGGCGCCAGGCAGGTTCCCTCGGGATTCGCCGACCCTGGGGAGAAAAGGCAACGTCCAGAGCCTCCCCAAGGACTGCATCCCATCACCACACGCCTCCACCAATGCCAGCACCACGGCTGCCGACCTCACCTCCCCCGTCACCTCGACCTCCGCCACCTCCTCCATCACCACCTCCACCGTCACCACCATCGTCTCAGTCATCCCTGTAAATGTCGTACCACTACCCCCATCCCCTCATCACCATTACAACCCCTCTGAGCCTATTTCCTTCACCGCTAAGATCTGGTATCCGGAGTCCCGAGGCAAGTGCCGAGCCCTGCAGTCCAACGTGGGTCTTCAGGCTCTGACTACAGGGCTCTTGCCCCTCTGCCCTCGGTCCCACGGCCCCACCAGCTCCCTCCACAGCCTCGTTCCGAGATGCTGAGATGTGTCCCCTGGAATCCCAGCTAAAAGTCATCCCGAGATCCTGTTTTCAAAGGTCCGTGTAATCCACGCGGATCTGGACATCCTACCCTCTTCCTCACGCACCCACAAGCGTTAACTTGAAGGCAATCCCGTGAGTTGCGCCAAGTACCAGGGCTCTCCTCAGAACCAACACGGCGGCACCCCGTCTCAGCACCCTGAACTCAAGCCTCCCCCGTTGGAAGTCTGCTGAGGGGAACTGCCCCCGCAAAGAACGGCTACCACCAACGGAACAGCCGTGCCCTCGGCAGGCACAGAGCAGAAACCTCCCCCAGGACTCGACAGCCATGCAGAGCTACTGTCCAACAGGGTAACACTCGTCACACGTGCTACTTACCTGTCAATTAAAGGTGAGTGACGCTTTGGGCACTCAGAACCTCGGTCACACGGGCCACACTTTCAGGCGCCCGGTGGAGACAGGCGGCCGGTGGCTGACATATTGGACGGAGGCTCCGTCCATGGGATGGAGCACACCTGTCACCTCAGAAAGCCTGTTGGACTTTGTGGAGGTGACAAGCCCCAGTCAGGACTGCGTCAGGATCCAGAGCCGAGGGTCCGGAACCCGTGCAAGTGTCCTGGGGGAGGCAGGGCAGAACCAAGCACCCCAGACGGGGTGGCTGTGGACAGCACATATCTGCCCCCCCGCGGCTCTGGAGGCTGGAAGTCCCGGAGGAAGGGGTCTGCCGGCCACTCCCTTCCGATGCCGTGAGGGACCGTCTGCTGGATGTCCCTCTCCAGCCTCGACCGGCTGCTGGCCGTCCTTGACGCTCCTTGGCCTGCAGGTGGCGATGCCGATCCCCACCGCCACTGCCACGTGGCCTCCCGCGCGCGTGTCCGCGTCCCCTCTTCTGTGATGACACCAGTCCCTGCTCCAGCATGGCCTCAACTTAACCGTCACATCTGCAGAGTCCCTAGTTCCAAGTAAAGCCACTTACACAGGTTCCAGGGGGACATGAGTTCTGGGGGGGCCCCCGCCCCCTCCACCCTGCAGCTCCTCGTGCCCCCGTCACCATCCGCACTCTTTCACGGAGACCCACCTGCTGACCGTCTGTCTCTACTCCTAGGGCACCGGCTCCTGCGTGGGCGCCTGGCCTTATCAACACCCCTCAGCAGGAACCCGGCCCACGGTACACGCTCAACAAACACCTGCTGAATGGACGGGCGAGTAATACAGGGGCCACAGTGGAGATCAGATTCCAGATTCTCTAGAAGGCCTAGGTCGCGTTGCGCACCCCAAACAAAGCATTCCGGATCCGGGCGGATGATCGGGGAAAGATCAGCCTGGGTCGGAAGCCTGCATCTGCCGGGTGGTGCAGTCAGCCGTTCACTGCCCTGAGCCCCCGGTTTCCTCATCTCTACAACAAGCCGGGAGGCTCGCCTCTGCAGGCTGACCTGGGGGTGGGCAAAAGGATGGCCAGGGTCGGGCCTGATAGAGAATCACCCCGGTCTCCAAGATGGCCTTGGGCGAGGAAGGGTCTTGAGGAAGGGGCTGTCTGCGCTCAGAAGCCCGTGAGTGCCGCACCAAGTGACGGTGTGGCCGTGTCGACCAGTCCTGGGCAATCGGCTCCAGGGAGCCACTTGTCCGACGTGGTGGCCGGGAGCCACGGCCCAGAGCTGAAGTCTGGGGACCTCGCCACTCCCGCCTGCCCCCAGAGTCCCCGGGGGGGCTGGGGTGGGAGGGAACCGGGGAGAAGGCAGCTGGCGGCCCAGGGAGCTTCTGGAAGGGAGCCACTCTGGAGTGGCGCTGGGCCTCTCTACGCGGCCCGCCCAGGCCGGGGCACGTACTCCTCCTCCCCCGGAGAGGAGGAAGGCCAGGGGGCTGGTGGCAAACCGTCCTGGCAGCTCCCCAGGGGCTCCTGGACAGGCTCGAGTTTCCAAGGAGCATAAACTGTCTTACAAATTAAGATAGCAACTCCGATGACTGAGAACATTAAAAATAGCTACACTTGCTCAGCCCCTCCTCAGGGTTCTGTGGGAAAGAGTCCGTCAGCTGGACGGCTGACCCCACGGGCCTCACGCTGACGCGGGGCCGGCCCAGCTCCTGGAGAAAGCGTGGGAGGAGCTGCAGGCCTGGGTGCCCTGTGAGCGGTGAGCGGCCATGCGGCCCACCCTGCAGCGTCCCTGGTGACAGGAGGGGACACCGCTCAAAGAGCGTGTTGCCACGGCATCTGCCCCGTGGGACCGGTCACAGCCCCTCTGGCCCCTCTTTGGGTCACTTCCTCTCCTACAGCTGCCTTTTCCCAGCCTGCCGTGCGCGAGAAGGAGTCCTTTGGCCCCACTCAAACGTTAAGGAGGGACATGTTAATACACAAGTCCTAGCGTGTGCATAACAAGGACGTAACCGAGTCGGGTGCCTTTGGCTCAAGTACAGAAGAGCTGACTCGAGATGGCTTTAAAGCGTGCTGTGTCGCGTGACAGGAAGTCTGGGCTGGGGCACTCGGCGATTATGTGACATCGCAGGACTTGGGATCCCTCCTCTTCTCTGCTCGGCCGTCCTCACTTGGCCTCAGTTCTCAGAATCGGTCTTCGTGTTTGTAAGATGACTGCCATGGCTCCGGGCATCACATCCCCATCCACCAACCTCCAAAGACGCCCCTGCCTTGTGCCTCTTTGTAAGAGCCGGGAATATATTCTCAGGGACCCTCTAAAGTCTCATTGCCAAAATAATTACAAGAAGTTGTCTCTTTGTGCCAAAGGGAACATGTATTCCTTTTGTAGCACAAAGAAAGTCCAATATACTTTTCTAAAGAAACCCTCTTGTCAGCGGAGTGCAGGATGTGGACTCCAGAGCCGTGGGCTCGGTCCTCCCAGAGCAATCCCAGGCTTTGCCGGGAAGGTCCAGGACAAGGGGGGCCCGGGACAGCCAGCACCACGTACGAGAATCCACCGAACCCCCGGATCCCAAGGAAGACTTTTCTCTCCTCAGTCCCCCACCCCCCGGCTGGCGCTCCAGCACGGAGGGTTCCAGAGTGCGAGGCCTTTTCCCCTCACCGGCTGCAGGGTCCCTCCAAGGAACACAAACGGGCATCTTGGCCCACGCGGCCCGGCCCTGCGTCAGCTCACGGGCTCCGCTGTCCCTCGCCACCCTAGCAAATCCAGAACTCAGCGGCCTGACGTGACAGGAGTTTACGGATGGCTCACTCGAGGCCCCCGGATGCTCCACGACCCGGGGATCACTCAGGACCCCAGACTCCAGAGGGAGGAGGGGCCCCCCCACGGGCGCCTTCCTTCCCCACCCCTCCGTCCTTCGTGGGGACTCGGGTCCCGGGGGCACTCCGTGACTCCACGCCGTAAAGCCACAAGCCGGCATGCAGAGCGGCCCTGTCTCCTGATGGACCCTGGCGGTGGGCTTGGATCCGCGGGCCGTGATGGCAGCAGGAAGCATCCAGGCCCCACTGTGAGGAGTGTCACTCCAGCGGCAAGGGGTTTGTAGAGAGGAGGCCGGCGGGGGGGCCCTGTCCGCGGAGCCCGTCCCGCTCTGTCCAGGCCCCCTGGTCCGGCCCGGCCGGACCAGCTCACAGGACTGGGACAGAGACCGAAGCAGTGTGGCTGTTTCTGTCACGTTAAAGCACCACATTAATTCAGCCACATCTCCTGACCTCGAAATGTCTGAGGAGCCGAGCTCTCAGAGA